GGACCTAGGAATATGGCAATGCCGGCCGGTGCGACATGGCATGGCACACCAAAGTGCTCCATAGCCGCAACGTAAGACACAGCGGGTGGGGAACAAACTGGAGGGGAGCGGATGGCATGACATGGATGGTGAGCAACAATGATGGGTTACGTGATCATCAGGGAGGCGAAAAGGCGACAGCCAACATGAATGAGCAATGGTGGGAAGCATGGGCGCAGGCAGGGAGGAATACGGATGCCGATGAGAGGAGGCTTGCTAGCTCAATAGAAACTCTAGGTTGGGGTTGCACAAGGATCAGAAGGCGATGGAGACTGATTGGACCAAACAGCTCTGACAGGGTTTCTGACATGACAACTGCCGCCTTCTTCACACGCTGACCCCTGCTTCTCCTCGGCCAGTCCTCCCCTTTTCAGCTCCAATCAACTCCCCTACACTACGTGCGCCCTCGCTGTACACACTCTGCGGTAGTTCGCTTGCAGGCGGTCGGTGAAGGGAATCAGTGGTCGAGAGATGGAAAGACAAAGTGGGGGTCAGGAGCAACGCGAAGCTCATCGCCCACCACCCCGCTTGCTGTGCCTAAAGCTATCCTCGCGTGTGAAATTCTAAGCTCGCGTTTCGAAGTTGTATTTCCTTCGTAACCATCCCCTCTTCCCCCTCTATCTCCCTCCTTCCCTGCACTTATTCCTTTTCAACCTGACTTTTTCAATTTAGGGCTCACGCTTCGTGCCATGCGAATGGACGGCAGCGACTTGCACAGCATCTCCATGTTCTCCGCCCAACCCTTGCTCCACGGCACCCGCGCCAATACTTCCACCAGCCAATCGCGCTTCTCGTACGGCGCGCTCCAGCATCCGCCGTCGAACTCGTCTCCAATCAGCCCGCCGCCGGCAATCTCCAGGTCCAGCACCTTCTGCGACACTCGCGACTCTATCGGCAGAGCGTCGGACTGGGGCGTCGGATGCCGAACTTTCGCGACCAGGCCTGACCTTCGCACATACTTGATGCCAGCCCACGTGATGGCGGGCTGTAGGTACGTGTACACTGCGATGACAGGCAGCAGCGCCAGGTTCATCAGCATGCCCAGCACGCCAAGCGAGAGGCTGAGATTGCTTAACCGGATCTGCGGCTTTTCCGGGGAGAGCAAATTGCAGAGAGTGATGACGGCGTGGAACAGGCGCGCGCCCAGCAGAGCCGAAATGCCGATGCTCGCCAAGTGGCCGAGGGAGAACGCGAGGCCCGTGGCGCAGAACGAGCGCGACACCATCCACTCCCACCACAGCGTCCTCCCGTCCACCACCACCGGCCGCCCGCCGCCCACCAGCCCGCTCGATGCAAGCGCCGCGATGGTTGCGACGTCGGTGACGCCCGATTGTAACAACAAGGGTCGGGAGGAGAGGAGGACGGACCGGGCGAGGGAGAGGAGGAAGAGGACGAGGTGGATGAGCGAGGGGATGAGGGGGATGGTGACGGCGATTGAAGCGTACGTGTAGAAGAACCAGCCGACGTGGTTGGTGCGGTAGGCGTATGAGGAGCAGTAGGTGGTCAAGGCGAATATCTGACGCCGCACGTAGTTCCAGTACCGGCGGAAGGTCCACGCGCCGGACATTCTCCCGGGGAAAATGGCGGTGGGCGGGCACCACACCTTGCATCCGTGCACTCCCGCCACGGACGTGAGAATCAGATCGTTGCTGTAGCCGTTGCGCTGCAGCGCGCTCGCCATGCCGTTGCGGTCCGCGCGCAGATCCGCTAGCCGTAGCATGATGCAGCCGCCCCACACGAAGAACGCCGGGCCGCCGGACGACATGCCGATGAGCAGAGGCAGACGGTACGCCATCGCGGCATACGCGGAGATGCTTGGCGTCGATGGGATGTCGAAGGAGTAGCCTGTGCAGCAAAATACCTCTGGCCGCGTCTCCATAGCTTTCACCAACGACCCCAATGTCCCTGGATGGCACTGAATGTCGTCATCCAAAAATAACAGGTACTTGGACTCCGGGCACGCGACCTTAGCGCCAGCTAGTTGGTTATGGATCTGTTGGGAACACGCCGTCGCTAGGCCGGCGACGACTAGCCGAATATCGACGACACCCTTCATCTCTTTTTGCAAGCTCTGCACGGCGAAATACGCAGGGTCGTCCTCGCTCTCCACGCAGAAGATATACTCCACAGAGCCGCCATACAGCGTCACCAGCTGCGACCGCCAGTTGTCCATGCCGGCTTCCCCTATTGACCCCTTCACCGCCAACACCACCGACACCTTGGGTAGTTGCCGCTGCTCGTCGTACGACAACCGCGACATCTCCACGTCGACAAAGGCGAACGGGTTCCCCGATTTTTGAGCCGATCGAATCCGTCTGGTCTCTCTGATGCGCGACTGGCTAGCCCATAGCCACGCGATGCCGAGGCCGATGAGGATGAGGGAGGCTTGTAGTTGGAGGAGAAAAAGACCAGGATGGCAGAGGAGCGACGAGCAGGAGGAGCACCACCACGCCGATCCACATGATGAGATTGCATCCGTCAACAATGCGCCTTCTATTAGCTGCATCTTGAGAACTCAGGTGCGACTGATGCCTGGATACTGCTTCTTGATACAGACAGGCACGACGAACGCTTCAACTAACGAACAATTATGCTACTAGTGGCGTTGAAATTTCGGAAAGCCTAAGAAACGGGAAGGGACAGCTGAATGATGGGAACTGGGGAAAGTAGGCCTCGTCCTCTTGCCATGACTAGAAAAACGAGATCTGAAATATATGGCGAGGCGTCTCCTGGAGTATCAACGCTACGCTAGATCCCAGTTAATCTAAAGAAGGAAGCCGTAGCTGACACGGTGTGAGAGTAACGTGTGAGAGTCCGAATGCAACCCCAAACCGAGCCTGGCAACCTAAAGAAAGGGATTATGGCAATGGATGACCTTGGGGGCTGATAATTTCGGAAATAACAGGATTGTGAGGAGACCAGCAGGAAGATGGGTCAGGGGGGGGGGACAGGAACACTGGCAGGGTGCTTGGTGGGAAGAACCAGTGGTGGTGAGGCGTGCTGCGGAAGTTTGAGGCGGAAAGGAGTTGGGGGTGAAAGCGGGAGGCATAGATGAGGTTGGGGGGAAAGGGGGAGGAAGGCGGGGGACGGTGGGTGTGAGGCGCAATCATTTGTGTGTGAGTTCGTTTTGGTTGGCGGAAAGCATGGCACAGAACGGGTTCAGGTACGCGTTCCCGCAAGCGGAAGGTGCGGAGGGAACAGAGAACGAGATATGAAATCAAAGGCCTCTTGAAACTCACGCGCACAAACGTTCCTTGCGGAGGTTCGGGGGTAAGCGGAAGCCACCGAACAGCGTACGCGGGGGGGTTGGCCGAACCGCACGAGCGCAACGTAGGACCCATGTTGACGGACACAAACGGCAAGAAATCGAGATGCCCGCACGAAACTGCCAGAACGAGGTGCTCGTTGCGCTGAGCGAACCAATCACGTGTCTGCTGGGCAGACGGAAATCTGTCCAGCCATGCAGGAGGCTTGATGAGCACAATGAACCGAACTCTACCGTCATGGTTGACTCCTAGGGATTGGCTGGAAATTGGAGAGCGGGATCATGTCGAGGTCGATGCAGCCGCTTCGCGGTCGGAGCACAGTTCGCGCACGAGATGCATTGGTGGTTCCTAGTGCGCTTGAGGAGTTTCAGCACGGCGATGCGGTGTGCTGAAGGAGGCGGCGAGGCCAACAATTTCGCGGTTCGCCAGAGTTGCAAGCCAAGGAAGGCTGACACTACACCATCGTCCAGAAATCCCAGAGTTTTCCTTGCAGCGGAGCCATTACCGAAACCGAAACCCACCGAATGGTTAACAGAGTAAACTGCACTCCAAAAACTACTATCAAAAGTGTTTCAATCGTGAAAAACTCCCTTCCGTAGTTCGAACATTGTTCTAGGATAAACTACCCTGGAAACTAATGCCCCAAAAGTGCTGTGTGCGTCTCGAAGCTAATGGCGGGAGTCTCACGATTCCCGCTTCCTATGAGCTGCTGACAAAGCTCCTCTCACCAGCAGGAGAATCTGGTCCGTTGATGCTTCAAACCCCTCAAAATTAGGCAAGGTGGATTCCTTTGCCAGAGATCGACCAAACCAGAGGTGCCAGGTCAAACCTATACAACACGAATGCACTAAGAAAAGCACTAACAACGCATTTCAATAATTCGGCATCAGTATAGTTCCATTTATTATTAAGCAGTGAAGAATGGCGATATAAGCAGGTGTTGTAAAAATACCCTCAGGTGTAACCACAATATGCTGCATCCAGATTTAAACAATCCCAATGCAGCAAATTGTTGAAGTATTCGCGTCTCCGAAATGTCGTGGTTGGTGGTGACAGGTATTTGAATTTGTGGTACCCCTCAGACATTATAAAGACGGAACCTTGTGAGCACCATGCTGCCACATTTATCATACCCTTAGTATTAGCAAGAACCTGTGTAAACGCTTAGCACGTGGGGCATGCAAAGTTGGAATCATACAGTTATCGCTCTATGAAGAAATCAACCACCACTGTATCAAGTCTAAGAGCGTATTCCTATCCTCGTATCAAGAGAACCTCATATCAACCTCCCACTGAAAATTCCCCTAAACCCAAAACCTCTCGCTAGTTTTACCAGGCAAAAATTACAATCTTGATATGAGGTTTTCTTGATACGAGGATAGGAATACGCTCTAATGCATCCAGATGGCAATTGCCGTATAGGACCCTATCCAGAACTCCATCTGATTCAAAAGCCCCTCAACAGCACATCGCATCACAGCTTCCCTTTATTCTACACAGCACCATAAATATTGCATCTTAGAAGCGGTGCGCGTTTTGAGTCGACTCATATGCGAACACGCACGGTGCGCTAATCCCAGGAGAGGTCCTGGAAGGGGCTGGCGGCCAGGCTGTCATCGACCACGGAGTTGCTGCGGCCTTTGCCGCGCCGCCTCTCCATCGTGGCCATGCGCACCAACCCGAAGCCCCCCCCCTTGCTGCTCGCCTTGCCCTCACCTGCCTCCCTGTCGCCCATAGCACCCCCCTCCGCTGCACCCGGGCGCAACAGCAGTGAGCTGAGAATGCCGCCCGCACCGCCCGTGCTGCCAGCGCCGCTGCTGCGCTGCCTCCTGTGCCGCGCCTCCACGCCGCTGCTCGACCGCGTGAACGCCCTGCTCGCCTCACTTCGCCCCTTCCCCCCCGGCTCCCCCTGCTCTCCCGCCCCCATGCCGCCTGCCAGCCACCCCATGCCTGCCACCCCTCCACTGCCGCTGCTGCTGCCGCCTCCACTCCTCTCCCGCCGGTGCCTCGCCTCCACTCCACTGGCCGACCGAACCAGACCCCTTCGAGGGTTGTGAGCATCCACGCGTGCCGGCCCTGCTGCTGCCGCTGCGGGTGGTGGTGGTGGTGGTGCTTTTGGGAGCGGGGAGTTGTCAAAGGGGCCCATGGCGATGGCGGAGGAGGCAGCGACACCAACACTGCCAGTGGCGCCGATGCTCATGCCGCCGCCCGCACTGCGGTTGCGGCAGTGCCTCGGCTCCACCCCACTGGCCGACCGCACCAGCACCCTCCTTGCCTCCCCCCCACCCATCTGCACCGCACCCCCCACACCTGCCCCACTTCTCTGCCCTCCTTCCTCTGCCTGCCTCTCTGCGTGCCAAGCACTGCTGCTGCCACCGTGCCTGCTGCTGCTGCTGCTCTCGTGCAGAGTGCTCGCCCGCAGCAGCATGACGCCCCCCTCCTCCTCGCCCCCTCCGCCACTCCCCTCTCTCCCCGGCGACCCCCCCACGCGCCCTGCGCCCCTCCCTGCTCCCCACGCGCCCAGGCGCGCAGGGCTGCGGGCGGAGACAGGGGGGGCGGGGCGGGAGACGGGGCGGGCGAGGGGCACGGGGGAGCCGGAGGGGGAGGCGGAGGAGGAGGAGGCGTCGAGGCTGCGGTGGCGCGAGTGGGAGGCGAGGCGCAGCAGCGAGTGCATGGATGGCGCGGCACACCGCACAGTGGCCTCGCGAGGACTCTCCTCCCCCGCCTCCTCGCCCCCGCCCTCCCACGCCGGCCCCCCTGCTACCCCCATCAACCCCCCAGCCCCCCGTGCCAGTCCGTCCCTGCCCACGCCCCCCCTGCCCACTCCGCCCTGCTGAACTATCCCCCGCCCCTCCCACCTCCCCCTCCCCCCCCCCTCCCCCCCGCCCCTCCCCAAGCGCCCGTGCCCCGCCGCCCACACGTGCTCGATGCTGCTGCGCTCTCCGCCCTCCCCTGTCCTCTTCACTCTCGCTTCCCGACCCACTCCCACTGCCCTTCTCGCTCCCACTCCCACTCTCGCTCCCACTTCCACTCTCACTCTCGCTCTCACTCTCACTCTCCTCATCTCGCCCTCTACCCCTGCCTTCACCCCCCGTACACCTCTCCCCCGCCCGCCCACCCATCCTCCTCGCTCCCCCTCCCCTCTCCCCACTCCGCCCCCCGACGCCCCTTCCCCCACCGCCACGCTCCTCCCTGCCACCCCGCCTCTCCCCCGTGCCCGCCCTCACGCACGCCCCATCGCCCTCCTCGCTGCTCTCCTGCACCAGACCCAGCGGCCGCTGCTGCAACGGGCAGGGCGGTGGGGGGGGGGGGGGGGGGGGGGGTTCACGGGATGTTGGGAACAGGCAGACGAAAAAGACTCAAACGGCGGCAAGAACGCGTGGGCATGCCATCTCTCCCTAACTGCACCCCTGCGCCACGCTGCTGCGCCCTTGCCTGCATGCCCTGCCCCAACTGCACCACTCCCTGCGTCTGCCGGCTCTCTCTCTCTCATCCCATTTACCCCCCATTGCCCCTCTCTCGCGCTTTGCCCCGCCCGCCTGCCCACCCGCGGCACCCCAGCGCCCTGCGCGGCTCACCTGGCTGGCCTCCGCGCGTTCGGGACTCAGCGACCGCTGCGACCCCGGGGACGCCCACCCGTACCCTCCGCCCGCCGCCGCGCCCATGCCCCCTCCGCCCGCTCCTGCCCCTGCCCCTGCCCACGCGCCTATCCCTGCATGTGGGCTCGGGTGCGCGCTGTAGGGGGGGGCGGGCGGGGGCAGCTCTCGGTTGCGCAGGGAGGAGGGGGAGGGGCCTCCGACGGACGAGGAGCGCAGGAAGGGCGGGGCGAAGGCGGCTCTGGGGGAGGCTTCATCTGCCTGCGTCCACGCCGCCCACCCGCGGGCGCTGTGGTTGCTGCTGGGGGGAGGACGGCCGAAGGGGGAGGACGACGCGGGGAGGGACGGCGGCGGCTGCTTTTGGGAGACAGGGAGGGGGGCGGAGGGGGAGCAAGGGTCGTCCGCTGCTGCCCATGGGACGGGGGGGCGGGGGAATGCGCTGGCGGCGCTGCTAGCGGGCGGGGAGGCGTCGAGCGGGTTGAGGGCGAGCGGCGCCCTGTTGGCTCTCGCGCGCGGCCGCAGCTCCATCGACATGGCGCGCCGGAACCCCCTCCGCCCTCCCAACCCACCACCCCCGCCGCTGCCAGCGACGCCCGCAGGAGCGGCGGCGTCCGCCGCATTCCCCTGCGTCTGCGTGACACTCGTGCTGTGCCCAAACCCGCCTCTCACGGGCGGCTTGCTGCTCGCGGCGGGAGGCGCAACGAACTGCGCAGACGCGCGGGACGGACTCCCCATTGCGCCAGCGCTGTTGCTCATGGCGCGAACAGCCGGCGCAGCGCTCCCGCCAATCCCAGCGCCCCCACCGCCAACACGCACTTCGTCGCCCGCCCTGGTGCCACCCGCAGTGCCGCCGCCGCGCCTGCCAGCGCCGCCCATGCTCGCTCCGCTACCGGAGCCCCCACCGCTGCTGAAGGGCCCGTTGAAGGTCGCCCCCACACAGTCCCCCGCTACGCGCCGGTCTCTTGCGCCCGCCGCGCCCACAGGCGCGGAAGCAGGCGGGCACTTGGGCACGGGCGACGACGTCGTGCGCCTAAACTCGCGCACTGCGCGCGGCCGATACTCCGCCGCCTCCCCTCCCCCTCCTCCTGCGGCTGCTCCATCCGCCGCAGAACGGCCGCCTTCCCAGTCGCTACTGCCGCCCTCGTAGTCTGCGCCCGGTCTCCCCCCGTACCCCTGACCCACCGCCGCTTCTGGCGGCGACGGCGGCGCTGCTGCGGCGGGGGGAGGAGAGTTAGGACGGTCGGGGGAGAAATCGGAGTCGTATTCAAATCCCTGCGGGGGTAGACGGGGGGTGGGGGGGAGGAGTTACGGGAGCGGGAAAGGTCGAGAGGGAGAGCAAAGGTGGCAGGGTTAGGGTAGGCTGAACGGGGAGGGGCGTTGAGCCAATGAGGCAGCGCGTGCGGTGGTCGCTCGGATCGTCCACACACGCGCCGCAATCCCAATGAGGCGTGACGGCCGCAGAATGCGTTTCACACACAACGGCCCGCCGCAGAAGTAGCGTGGGTAACGGCGGGAAATGAGCGGTACGGAATGGTGCGTACCGGCGGGGGGAGCGGCACGTCGTCAGCGAGAACGGTGCCGAACATTTCGATCTGTCGGTGTCTCTCTCTCTCCTCCTCCTCCTCCGATCGCACCGCCCTTTGCATCTGCTGCTGCTGCTGCACCTGCTGCACTTGCTGCACCTCCCGCTGCTGTTCCTGCTGCTGCTGTGCTTTCAGCGCAGCAGCGCGACTGGGTAGCGATACTGTTCGTAGCAGGGACGGGGCCGCATTTGCTTTCCGAACCTCCGCTGACGAACCTGCAGCGGAGCCCCGGCGGGAGGCTTCAGCGGATGTGTTGGAATTGGACGAACCGAAGAATGAACCCATTTTGGTCCATCCGCGAAACTTCCTCTGCTGCTGCTGTTGCTGCTGCTGCTGGCTGTTCTGCAAGCCGTAAAGGGCGGCGAAGGACCGCTCGAGGCTGATGGTTCGGGGAAGCTCGTCCGGCATGCCGCCATCGTCTGCCGCATCGTATGGCGACGCGTAAATCGACATGAGCGATTGCCAATCATCAAGCTCTGGGACAATACGTTAGGATCCCTAATTGCATAGGACAGATCGGTGAAGGCGAATATGTCACAACATGGCGGTACTGAAAAAAGTGCCGAAAACTGGTCGGGCAATTAATCTCCAGGCACGAGTTGTGCGCAGTGCATGACACTGCGAGTGATGCGCGGAGATACAGCTAGTCGTGCTGCTGTGTTGTCCGTGGCTCTCATTTCAACCTACCAAGTGTGACAGGTTGCGATGAGATCGAGGGGCTCCCATCAGGATTGCTTTGCCTTGCTGCGAGGAGATGCGATTAGATGAGATAAGGGCGTGTCTGAAGTGCAAACGTCGAGTTTCGTCAAATTTCGTCGACGAAACTCATCCGTGGGACCCACGCGTGTTGGTGTCTGAAGTGCAGCCTGACATTCCTCGACGAAACTCGACGTTCGTGCACATGTCGAGGGATGTCGAACAGTGATACCGGGCAGCTGTTTGAGTCACTGTAGTCAGTGAGTGTTTCAAAAACAATTCTTCGACACGCCATGTCTGCATAGCTGTGGCAAACACACGTGAATAAGAACTAAGACGAGAGCGACACGTGCTAGAGAAATTTCGCTGGCAATGTGACAGTAGAATATCCGGTGTTACCAGCAACAATCTATGCTAAGCGAAATTCGCGAGATTGCAAACAATTGAGTTACATGAATGATTCTGTTAATTCCACGTCGAATTTTCATGGGCAACTTATAACAGTGTTCCTATGGCACGTGTGGGTTATTTTGTCGTGTGGGTGTCTGAAGTGAACACAGCTGAAAACGGATGTCGAGTTTCGTCAAGGAACGTCGACGAAAGTTTCGTCGGCAAACGTCGAAATTCACTTCAGACACGCCCTAATGCGCATCAGACACTTCTGTACGATTTGGTGTTGTACAGTACAGTGCAGTGCACAACCGGACAATACGGGACGGAGGGAGGGATGTGGGCAGTGATCAATGCGGCGATCACACGACAACAGCGATAATGGCGATGATGAAGTCAAGAGGTGGGTGACGTCAAGAGCCACGAGTCTCCAACAACCTCTGCTTGTATCGAATTCACCAAATTCCTAAAAATTACACTTCCAGTTTATTCCCACAACGTGTAGAAACAGATACATACACACACACACACACACACACACCACACACACCACACACACACACACACACACACACACACACACACACACACACACACACACACACACACACACACACACACACACACACACACACACACACACACACACACACACACACACACACACACACACACACACACACACACACACACACACACACACACACACACACACACACACACACACACACCAAAATTGACGATCTTTGTGCCATCTCAATCCAACCACTATGCCTCATCGTCCACCATAAAAAAACTTGTGAAAGGCATAGCTAGCTCATCCGACCGTTTCACACAGCTCGCCGCCCAAAACATTCACTCCTGCTCGATGGCTGTTCACAAAGCCAGCAGCAGCAGCAGAGCACCCCCCGCAACAACGCAAGTAATCTTGGTGCCAGCAACAGGGCCAGAAGCCGCCTTACCATACAGAGCAGCAGCAGTGGGAGGAGCGCTGACAGCGGAATCAGTAGTTTTAGCAACTGTAACTGCCGGCATGGGTGCTGCTGCTGGGATTTGAGACAACGTAGGTGCTGCAAATGCAGCCGGGAAGACAGGTGGTGGTGAGGAGGGTGGGGCTGTCAGGCCTCGAGAGAGTTTTGGAGGGACAGGAATGTCTGGGGAACGCGGGGCTAGTGCAGTGTGGAGGACGGGGGAAGGAAGGGTGACAGAGGCAGTGGGGGGAGATGAAGCAGTGGTGGGGGCGGAACCAAGCAAAGAACCAGGAGTGGAGGTGGGCGTGAGAGGCGGACGAGAGGACAGAGAAGACGGGGTGGTGGCAAGAGCAGCAGGAGGTGGGGGTGGAGAGGAGTAGAGTGCAGGGGGGAGGTTGACTTGGAAAGTAGGTGCAGGCGGGGACTGAGCAGGGGAAGCAGGGGCAAGGGGGTTGGAGACGGGCTGTTCATTGGGGTCAAATGAGTAGTCATCCGTGAGTGCTGGGGAGGATGCTGGTGGGTATGCGAGGGCAGGGGACATGGAGTCGAGGGGAGGGGCGGGGGATTCGAAGGAAGCAGAGGGGGTGTTGAGCAGTGGACCTGAGGGCAGTGGGGGCATGGGGTGGTGAGACATGGGGCGGTGAGGAACAAGGTGATGAGACATGGAGATGTGAGGCATGGGGTGGTGAGACATGCCAAGGCTGACAGAACACACAAGGTGGAAGATGAGGATGACTTGTGATGACTTCAACATCCATTTGAAGGACTGGCATTTCGTTTGAAGTCCCCGCATTTGGCAGATCACACACCCGTGCATGATTCAACCACGCACGCAGATCACACCCCATGCATATCACTCTCATGCCAACCACCCCCCTTGACTCTTCCCACTCTCCTCCTCTCGCCCCCCTCGCCCCAGAGTTTTGCTCCCCAGCAATGCACCTGCGGAGGGCGCACAGGAGGCGCAGTAGCGGGGGCAGAGCGAGCAGAAGACGGCGAGGGGCAGCGGAGAAACGGGGCAAGAGGCCGGAGACGGGCACACAGGGCCCGGAGACTCGCTGCTGGGCCAAATGGAGCTGGGGAATTAGAGGGGGGAAGTGGGGGGGGGGGGGGGGGGGGGAGGGGGAGAGCGGAAAGGAATGTGAGGCGGATGAGTTGAAAGTGGAAGGATGGATGGTAGGGTGCGTGGATGCACTGGTTGTTGGGATGGTGGCTCACAGAGGCAGGCAGTGGGATGGTGGGTTGACGTCGACAAAGAGAGATTTGCAGAGGCTGGCAGTGAGATGGGATGGTGGCTCACAGAGTGAGGAGGTTGGGCAGGGTGCCGAGCGCGGGTGGGATGACACCAGAAAGAGGATTGTATGACACATCGCTGCTTGGGATGATGGGGGGTGATGACGGAGGGCGAGGGGAGGAGAGGGAGGGAGGAAGCGGAAGATAAGGGTGGGAGATGCTAGGAGGGGGAGAGGGGCGCGCAAGAGATGAAGGGATCTCGAGAGTGGAAATTGTAGAGGGCAAAATCCTGATGAAGGAGTTAGAAAGGACATGGTGGGTGGATGGCAGTATGGACAGGTTTCACAGTCAAGCTCGTATGGAAACAGCAGGGAGGAGGCTGTAGGAATGCCAAAAGCGCAACGGGCACAGCATGGCCGTGTTCTTCCCCGTGACTACCGGCTGTCACTCTCCCTTCTCCTCCTCCCTCCCCTCCCTCCCCTCCCTCCCCTCCCCTCCTCCCATTCTCCCCCTGCCCCCTTCCCTCCCCCGCCTTACAGCATGTCGAGTTGCCGCAAGCCCCCCAATGATGCTGGGAGATCACCATGGAGGGAGTTATTGTTGAGGAGACTGCGCGGGAGAGGAGAGGGGAGGAGGGATGGCGGGAGAGGGAGAGGGAGGCAGGGAGGTTGTGATGGAACGACAGAAGATGAAAGTCGAGGATGGGTGGAGCGACGCGAAACGTGAACCAAGGAACATAGAAGGCAGCATGGGAGAGCAGCATGGGAGAGCAGCATGGGAGAGCAGCATGGGAGAGCAGCATGGGAGAGCAGCATGGGAGAGCAGCATGGGAGAGCAGCATGGGAGAGCAGCATGGGAGAGCAGCATGGGAGAGCAGCATGGGAGAGCAGCATGGGAGAGCAGCATGGGAGAGCAGCATGGGAGAGCAGCATGGGAGAGCAGCATGGGAGAGCAGCAAAGGCGTGAGGAGGAGGAGGAGGTGGGTGAGGTGAGCTTACAGCGTGTGCAGGAAGGGGAGAGTGCCAAGTGCAGGAGAGAGCGAGCCTGAGAGGTGGTTGCTGCTAAGGTCGCTGTGGGTTCATAAGACAGGGCAAGAGGCACGAGGGGCGCAGTGGGAGGGTAGGGATTGTGATGGTCGGAAGGGGGATGTGGCGGTGGGAGCGTAAGTGGGGTGGAATGTAGAAGAAATATGATGGAACCGGGAAGTGGGAAGTGGAGTGACTGTGGAAGGGGGAACAAAGGGGGAGGGGCGCAGATAATATGGGGTGGACGAGTGGATGATTTTTTGGACGCCTTAAGAAATTGATGGAAGCGGGTGAGAAAGAGGCGTGGGCGAGTGGAGGTGCATGCACGGTGCGGCTGCAATGCGAGGGCATGACAAAGACCAACACCGCACTCTGTAATGGGCACCGCATCGAGAGTGATGCAATAGATGAGAGCATGGGACGACGCGGAGGAGAGCGACTGATGCATGCAGTGAGGGGCAACGAGGCATGCGGAACTGACAGTTTTACAAGGGCCTTGAGGTTCCACATGGACTCGGGGACGGACCCTTCCAGGTCGTTGCTTGCCATCTCCCTGGGAGAAAGGAAGAGAGAAGGACGGGTTGAAGGAGGGGGAGGGGCGAGAGCAGTGTGCGTGAGGAAGGCAGGGAACAGCATGAGTGAAGAACGGAAGGTGGAGGAGCAGAGGAGAGTGAACGAAAAACCAAGCTCATCATACTATCGAATGTTTTGAGCGTACATCTGATATATAATAAAGAACGTGCTGCATGCTGTTCCAAACACGTGACGTTGACTGAGGGAGCACACGCTTCAAGCAAGAGGAGGGCGGAGGGTCTTAATGGAAAACTGGGGGTTTTGAGGCAACTGTGGTACGTACAGGGATGTGAGGCGTGAGAGGAGACCAAGAGAGGACGGGATGGAGCCTGTGAGACGGTCCTGTGAGGCAGACTGGTTTACCCTGGGCGCTGCACTCAGATCCCTGCCATGTAACATGCACCATGCAGTCATGAATCGTGATTCCCATAATGCCGCCATGCCATGCCATGCCATGCCATGCCATGCCATGCCATGCATGCAGTCGTGAATAGAGATGCCATGCCGGGAGACAGACACCGTGAAATGAGATGAGACAGACGGGCACGAATCATTCTCCATGCCAAGGAGCAGTCAATCATCAAGACAGCAGGCCTATGCTGTGCAGAGTAGTCTCGCAACGAGAAAGTGCTTCTGCATGCACGGTAGCAACAAGCACAACGTCACAGCTACTCCTCTCACCCACCACACCTCACCCACACCGCCTGAGCTCCCCCATCCCTTGCCCCATTTACCCTTTTCACCGCACCCCGCGCCCTCGTCCCCCCATCCCTCGTGGTGCTCACAGCTCTTCCAGCAGTAGCAGGCGACCCACAGCAGTTGGCACGGGCCCATGCAGGACGTTCCATCCCAGGCGACTGGTGGGAGGGGTGTGAACAAGGGAGGGCCGCACGGCCCATGAGCGGGCAGTGAGTGCGGCAACACAGGACAGTGAAGTTTGTCATTCGTGCGCTCTGTGTAGTGACTTGTGAGAGTTGCCACATGCGAGGTTCTAGTGCTTTGCGTGGTGTGGCACAGAGCAGCAGCTCTGCCTGTCGTGCAGCGTGAGAGGTCTGAAACATGGCATGGCGTGAGGTGAAAACGCGTGGCAGGGCGCATGGTGGCACATGGTCCCCCATGGTGGCACATGGCCCCCCATGGTGGGGCGACTCACAGCTGCTTCAGTTGAGACAGCTTGCTGATGTCATCAGGGATAGAGCCAGAGAGCGCATTATCACTCAGATCACTGAAAGAACGGAAAGGGAAGAGGGTGGGAGGGTGGCGAAAGGGGTGAAGAGAGTGGATGGGTCAGGGAGCAAAGAAAGAGGACGATGCAAGGGATTTGACGGAAGTATTCTCAGGCTATGGTTGGGGGGTGTGAAAGCGGGAGAAAAGCATGGAGTGTGGCCCCTCAACATGAGCATCATGTGGTGTGAGCAGAACGGCAGCTCACTCCCACCCACTGGCTGCCACAGTGCAATTTTCGCCTTGCTTGTGGCAGTAGCATCACGAGCACGAAGCAAGCGGGAATGCGTGCACGTACAGCGCAGTGAGGCGTGAGAGGGAGAAGAGGGAGGCTGGGATGGAGCCCTCCAGAGCAGACCTGAACAGGCTCATGCCCCGCAGCTTCCTGAACGGCAGACGCACGAGCAGAGAGACACACGCAGGGGAAGCGAGGTACTTACAAACAAGGCATGAATGAGGAGAGGACCAAGTGACGGACACAATCAAGACGTGTGTGTGCGGTGATGTGTGCCGGTGTGCCTGCCCACGTAGCCAAGGCGTTGCACATGCAGCGATGCATGGAGCAGAGCAGTATGCAGCAGTGCAGGCTGGTGGGTGGGTGGGTGGGTATGGTGGCGCACTGCACTGACAGCGTGTTGAGAAGAGAGAGCTGAGCAATGGAGGCAGGGATGGAGCCCGATAGCATGTTGAGGCTTATGTCCCTGGTCGCAAGGGCACGCACAGGTAATGAGAGGCACGGGGAGAGCAAGGAGGTGACGAGGAGAAATTCAGATCAGACTGGCGTCCAGCACTGAACAAGGAAGGTTAGGGATCGCCCCCAACTCGAACAACACGTCAAAATTGAAGTCTGAAGCAAAAAGGATGGATGACAGTTTGTGTAGCAAAGCCGGTGGCGGCGTGGTGTGGTGAAGGCGGCCAAGGCGTGTCTCACAGGAAGGTGAGGTTGACCAGTGCTGTGAGATTGGAGGGCAGCGGACCAAGAAACTGGTTCCACCGCAGATTGCTGCACGCGGAGGGAGGGAGGGAGGAGGCAAATTCCATAGCGAAGAGGAAGACTGGACGAGGTGGGACTAGGGAGAGAGGAGTGAGTAGAAAGGAGAGAGGAGAGAGGAGAGAGGAGAGGGCAGGAGGAGGTAGGAGCGGGCAGACAGGAGAGAGAAGGGAGTAGGGACATTGGAGAAGCATCTAGAAGGGAAAAGAAGAGCGGACACTGGAATTTGGAAATGGACAAGCACCACTGTGCAAGCGCTGTGGGCACAGCAGCAGCACTCACTCACAGGTGGTGCAGGTTGGGCAGGAGGTGCAGAGAGGAGAGGAACGGGCCTCCCATCTGGTTGTAGCTCAGATCGCTGCCAGTCGCCACCGGGGGAGGGGAGTGACGGGTGGCAGTTGAGGTTGAGGAGAGAAGGAGAGTCAACAGAGAGACAGTTTCTAGGTAGCGATGACAGGACATGTGGGTTGTCAGAAAGAAGAATTGATTGAGAGGCTATTGTGCACAGCCTTTGTGCTTGGCAGAAGCAGGGGAAGGCGTGCAGGAGCAGACGTGAAACACAAGTGAAAGGCAAGTGAAATGCATGCATTGCACGCTTTGACGCATTGAGCAAAGCTATAAGGCCACCATACATTCGGCCGAACAAGTAAGAGAGGTCCTACCTGGGTTGGGACGGACGGAGAGTGAGGAGGAGCAAGAGGAAGATGAACAGAAAGCAGCCTTACAGGACAGAGAGAGACGAGAGGCGGAGCAGCGGGGAGAGGTGAGACTCTGATATGCCGTTGCTGTCGCCCATATAGTGAGAGTTGAAACTCATGTTGCTGGGAGGACAAGGGGAGGAGCAGACCGGCAGGAACATTCGTTGCAATAACCTGAGTAGAACTTGGCAAGGCTCAAATGGCATGCGTGCAGCATGTGACATGTGACATGTGGCATGTGGCATGTGGCATGTGGCATGTGGCATGTGGCATGTGCCATGTGCCATGTGGCATGTGGCATGTGGCATGTGGCATGTGACATGTGGCATGTGGCATGTGGCATGTGGCATGTGGCATGCAGCATGGCATGGAGGTCACTGACAGGTGCGAGAGGAGTGAGAGCGCGGAGAGGGAAGCAGGCAAGGAGCCGTTGAGATTGTTGTCGCTCACGTCCCTGCAGCACAGAGCCACATGAGAACGAACAGTAAGAGGGCGTTTGCAGATAGCAGAAGAGGGGGAGAGTTGAAAGCGGGAGGTTACGGAGGGCAGCCGACAGAGAGAGATGTCATTATTATCACGCATGGCGGCCTCGGGACTGGCATGCAGGAAGCACCCAGGAAAGGAGTTGATGCACGCACAGATAAGCGAGGCTGTGGAGCAGGCCGAGGGAGGACGGCAGAGAGCCGCCCAGGCTGTTGCTGCTGAGATCACTGTGCGCGTGAGCGGGGAGGAGTGGGGCGGGAGTGGTGGCATGGGGGAGGCGGGGAAGAGGTAAGAGGAAGCACATTGCGCATGGCATGGCACAGGACACGTAACACATGGCACGTGGTGCATGCACACATGTCAGGGCATGGCACGTGACACATGGGCACGGCGTGCGGTAGGCAGGGGTACTGACAGCATGGTGAGCGCTGTGAGGCGGCCGATGGCAGGCGGAATGGGTCCAAGCAGGCGCGCATAGGGGAGATACCTGCCACGCATGGGATCATGTCATCATGCCGTTGGGTGGCATGGTCTTAATAGTCAACTCAAAACTACCACGCATGAGGTCATCAGCAGCTGTTAGACGGCATGGGATTGCGAAGGGGAAGGAGGGCGAAGAAGGACGATTTATCTCTCGTCTTGAGGCGCTCATAAGCACAAGAGCGACGCGGAGGGAGCAAGAGCGCGTGCGCGCCAGTGTTGTATGGCAGGCTGGCAGCACTCACATGCTCACGATCCGCCCCTGCGCATCACACGCCAGCCCCTGCGCCTGAGAGCAGTCGCCCCCCTCCCCCCACTGGCTCCAGCTCACCCCCCACTCGCGCTGCACCTCCGCCAGAACCGCGCCTGCGGGGGACGAGGGGGAAGGTGCGACCGTGTGGGGGGGGAGGGGAGGGTACACTGGTGAGCAAAGTAGTGGGTGCAGTGGGAGTGGGAATGCGCACGGAGAAATGAAGCAGAGGGAGAGGAAGAGCAGCAACGATCGCCACCTTCCCACCTTGCGAAGCGTTGAAGTAGGTAGCGGTTGGAAACGACTGGGTCTGTGCTTGCAACGGGGACACTGCAGACAGAAGCAACAGCGCCGGCAGCAGCAAGAGCAGCAGCGGCGGGTTCAGAAGCAGCAGTGCGGGGATACGACGGGGCGGGCAGCATAGTGCTCGAGCGGCTGGTGTCTGTGAAGGTGCCATTGTCTTGCCACTGGGAAACCCTAAAATTGCTTTACAGGCGGCAGCAGCTGCTGGGAAAGACGCGGAGAGGGACTGTTCCAGAGGGCCACTAAAGTTGCCGAGGCCTGTACAATTCCCGATGGCCGGTAAGGAGCCTATGACTCCGTGAAAAGCCTAGGAGTCGCAACTCGCAACTCTTAATTCACAAGTCGAGCCAGGGGAGCGCCGGTTCAGATTGCAGTAGGGGCAATGCGACCGAAGGAGAGCGAGAGCGGGAAGAAGCAGGATTATCTGGTCACTGTAGACTGGCCCTGTGACGGACCCTGAATGGTTGCCCGTTTTAAATAAGAACTCGCGCACCATTCGTTTCGCGAACGAGATCCTGTCGAACGGGAACAGGAAGCCCGAGGGCTCAGCGCGTCGCGGATTCGCGCGCTTGGTGCACGCCACCGCGGTTGACTGCGTTGACTGCACGCGCCGCTCAGGCAAGTCGAATCAACAGGAAACCCTGTTGCGTGAGCCATGCCACTAAACGACAACACCGCCTAAGGAGCGAATCACAGTGTACTGTTCCTGACTGCAAGCACGGGATCGACGATGCAAACGCACGACTGCAACTGAGTCTCCTACACGTCACCACGACTGAGTGGCCGGCCGGCCAGTGAAGAGCCGAATCCCTCCCCAGGTTGCGTTCGCGTGAGCGACACGCTACGACGCCTTCTGTAACCGTCGTTCTGGTGGGCTGATCGAGAACCAGACAGAGACGGTTACGGCAAAGGAGGTATTTGTCGGCTGACATGACATCGGGCAGATGAGAGCAGCAGGGGTAAAGGGTAATGCCTAAGAGAGAAGCAAGGGGACCAAGCTGTGGTGGAGTGTGACGCTGATGAATTGGGGGAAGGGAAGGGAGGGCTGGCTCGCAGGTTGCTTCTTCATCACGCCTCGTCCTGGGATTCGCCCAGTGGAGTAGTGCTTGTGAGGGGACATTTTGATTGGAAGGACAGGCTAGTTCTGCGTCCATCGATAAGCACACCCGTTACAGTGGCAACAACATTCTCTGCCTTCCTCCTCATTCACCTGAAAGCCCTCCTTCCAAAAGCAATAACATTCTGCCCGTGGAACAGCCATATTATATTCAAGCATATTCAATTTACATAACATACAGTAGTTAACCATAAGTCCAGCATAGCAAGTGTAACAACCCAGGAGTAGTGTGTGCTGTCTATGGTCAAATCGGGGCGCGGTAGAGTGAGCATTGTCAATGGGATGAAGTTACCAAACCCTTCACTCGGCAGCACCCTGCACAGGTTAAGAGTAAGTGGTGGTGAGAACAGTTCAAACAACCGTGTTACGACACAGAACACACCTCATCAAGTGCTTCTTCAAACTCCCCAAATCACTACCACCACCAACACTCCTCATCAGCCCACTTCCTACTCTCAACCTTGCTTACTACTCCCTTCTCAAGTTCCAGCCCAGAACAGAACCCAGCAGAGCAGTCAGGGTTCCCTCAGCCCAACGCCAGCTCCACCAGCATCACGAGAACCACGAGCACAACATTACCAGCCCACCCCCTGCAGGCGACACTGAACAGCAGCAGCCAGCAATGACCCAACCACTACCGCCCTCCCTCCCAGCCACCCAGAAGATTCCTCCTCCAGTTCCAACCAGAAATTTTGAAAGCGTTTCTCCACTCACGCCACCCACCTGGCAGCTTCCTGTTCGAAGGCCAAGCCGCGCACGTTGTCACTCTTGAAGAGCAGCCCGGGCGGCTTGCTGTCCTCCCTGGCTGCCCACGGCCCAAACACCGTCACCCGCCGCGGGTCCTGCAAGAGCCGCCGCAGGCTGGGAAGTAGATGCGAGCCTGTGAGGGCCATGGGGAGCACGAAGGCATCGGGAGCACAGAGGCATGGGAATGACGACGCCTATGAGAGAAAGGTGCAGCTTGCATGCGCACAAGAGACAGCGGCAGGTGCACCAAAGGAGATCCAAGCCTAGCGAATAACCCAACCCAACACAGCAACCCCACACAGACAAGCTCGCCAGGCAGCACAATACTCATGAGCAAAACTTCCGAACACTAAAATTAAGCCCAAATGATTTGACTCACGAGCAACGCGTGCATAGTCCTGCGCAGTGTCCAACGTGATGAGGTCGTGCAGCGAGGAGCTGTAGGCGGCGAGGCGGAAGGGCGTGTCTGGGCGTGACACCACCTCGCCTCCCGTGAGGCTCGTGTTGTACATCCACGCCGGCAGCACCTCGTGCTCCGCCCCCATGTGAGACGCGTATGTCAGATTGAAGAGGTAAGTGCGCCCACGCATGCTCACATTGAACCTGCGACAAAAGATTCACAAGAGCAGGCTGAGAAGAGATTTCAGGAGTTACAGCAGCGGCTTCTGGTCCGCTGTTGACAGTGCAAGGCCAGAGCAGCAAAGACCCGCACACACCACTCCTCTTCCCAACACCACCGTTGGTTTCGCCCACCATACGACTGACGTGCCTCGCTCAACCACGCCTAGACCCTTCGAGCGGACTCACATTCTCAGGCCGAGGAGTCCGTGGAGTGAGCAGTGGAGCAGTGTCACTCACTGTTGGCGTGTGAAGCCGTTGTGGAGCCCTCCGTAGAAGGTGAAGAGGGGTGGGGGAAAGGGCACGGGCGTGCGCAGCAGCTCCCCGCTGCCGTCCGTGTAATTGGTGGTCTTGGGGAGGCTTTGCAATCCGTGAAAGGCCTGCCAGGGTGATGGGCGTACATGGGTGTGGTGTGGTGCAGTGCCAAGGGATGGAGCGTGGTGAAAGGTTGGAAGGATGCAGGATGTAGCGTAGACGCGAGCATACTGGGCTAAGACAGGAGTGAGGCAACGCCGTACTCAGGCCATGCAATGCAATGCAATGCAACACAAAGTGCGCAGTGCAGCACAAAGCTTGCAGTGCAACACAAAGCATGATGTGCAACACACGCCAGGAGCAGTGCTACAGCAAGGGGCAGGAGCCCGTGCAGCGACATGCCTGCAGGTCGCCCCCCATGGAGCGCAGATACGTCCCGCGAGTGCGGTTGACGAGGAAGTGCGTGAGGAAGCCAAAGAAGATGCGCATCTCTGAGTCGCCTGCCCGCACCACCAGATAGGGCAACCCAGAACACATGCACTGAAGCACGTGGCACCAGCCAGCTGTCGCCCAAACCCAAGCATGCCTGAAAACACTTTTACTCGTTCTTAGGCCATCATTCTTTCGACACTTTTCCCTGTATCACGGACGAGCATGTACCCATGATGAGGACGTTTTTATGGCGGTGGAAGCAGGAGAGTGCATCAATGGGGGTGACAGTGCGCAGGCGGCAGGCATGGGGCATCCACTTGTGCTGCAGCCAGTACCCCTCGTTGCCGTGCGTGCGAAGCAAGGCCGCCGTGCACCATGGCAGAAGGGCGCTGGTGGGTGCGTGCATGGGTGGGGAGTGGAGGGCACGCATGGAGGAAGGAAACAGAGAACCTTAAACGGAATGGAAGGTGCAGATTATGTAGCCAGAGTCGAGCACAACAGAGCATACCTGAACAGAAAAGAGGAGAGTAGCAGAGCGGAGCAGACGCAACAGCAAAGCAGGCAGCGCAGAACAGAACAGGTATTTTTGAGAGCCGAATCTGATTGACATGGCACATGTGGCAAGGCATGTGGAGGTACTCACCGGAGGGCTAGAGGGTAGTATGTTGGAGGGGCCACCACCCGGATCACTCGAGCAAACACCTGCTCGTACCTAAGCAAGGGGCAGGAAAAGGGCAGGGCAAAGAGACGTGTGATGCACAGAGAGGCAGGCACGGGTGGTGAAGCCTATTCCAATGCGCACCACACAGCATGACACCCATGCTCCCATCCCACCAGGTTCATCCGGCGTACCCTGCATAGCCGTGGTTGAAGGCTGGGGAGCGGTTGGAGCGCAGCTGGAAGGCATTGGTGAAGAGCAGATGCAGCGACAGCAGGTAGGGACCGGGCACCGGTGCTGTGAAGCACACCTGGTGGGGACGCACGCAGCAGAAGGTGCTGCATCGAGCATGAACAACACAGGGAACAGCCTCTGCTCTCGTGAGTGAGAGCGTAGCTAGCAGGGGGTAGAAGGCGAGCGGGACGATGAGGAGCAAGCGGAGTGATGTGGATGTGCGGAACAGTAGGCGAGCGGGGGAAGGGGGGGGAGGTGTCTTAGCAGTAGAGGAGAGTGACGGTGAGACAAGCACCTGGTGGGAGGAGGAGCCATGGCGGTAGTTGACTTGAGCTGCCAGTCGCAGGTCAGTCCACCCCTTGAGAGAATCAGCCCTTGCCGGAACCTCTGTCAATCTAGCAGATCTCATCGTTCTATCCTGCTGCTCCGCACCCTCGCCCTGCCTGCTGCTGCTGCTGCTGCTGCTGCTGCTGATGTTGCTGCTGCTGCTGGCATTGCTGCTGCTGTTGGATTCCAGCCTCAGAAGACCCACGAAGAAAGCACGCTGCCTGCAAAATTGGTCACCATGAACGGCGAGGAAGAAGAGTCCTTGCAATCATTACCTGCGTGAACTATGCTCTTGTACTAGTCACCGTGTCTTGCAATTACACATGGGTGATGCGGTGGAGAGCAAGATGAGTGGGTGCTGTGAGGAGGGCAATGGGTGGAGCTCACATGCAGCCTGAGTCAAACGGATGTCCAGCCTTGTCATAGGCTGCACCGACACACACACGCACACACACACACGAACGAGTACGCGCAAATCTGATTATAATGATACTCTGTAACCCAATCAAAGCAAAATAAGGAAGCGAGAGAGCTGGACAGAGTTCTTTGCGCGTACGTTAAACAGTCCCTTCCTCCCTTTTGATAAGAAAAAAAGAAGCACCTGCCTTCCATAGCACCCTCGTCTCGCCGCTCTTCCCGTCTCATGTGTCATGGCCAAGCAAATGCATTCGCGTGCCGACCTCCTCTCCCCAGTCGTCCAGTCCCACCTGTCACGGAGAAGCACGTGCGGTGGTTGGCTACAGCCCACTCCGCCCCCGCCCCTTTCACCTCCACTCGTCCGAACCTCGCTGCTTTCGTAACGTCCCAACCCTCCCCCGCCCGCCGCTCCACTTCCACCCCGCACTCCCCTTCTACCCCCTCCTCTTCGCCCTTCACCTTCTCCCTCCTCGCACTCCCCTGGTGTGGCCATGCTGTTTCCGCAGTTACTGGAATGAAAGGAGTGAGGAGAAACATGCACATGCATGCATGCAGTTACGAAGGGAGAGAACATGCATTCTTGACAACCGAACGTGGAAAATGAAACGCGGGTGCAAAACTGGAGTCTTTTGCGGCACCTCAAACTAATCACCAGTGTACAAGCCCACCTTAACGCTCTCACATGGCGGAATCTGGGTGGGATAACGATTCGTACGCGTGAAGATGCCGCTTTTAAAGGTCGGCGAGTGCAGCAACGAGTTAATGACGCTGAGAGTGAGTAGCGACAGGAGCATGAAGCCGGCTACACCGCGTCTCTTCCTTCCACAAAGCAATACCACCCCGTCCCAAGCGCTTTTCTTTATCGCCGTGACGTTTCCCTGCGACCTTGCGTCTCCTTGCGCGCGGGACTGCGGTGCGTGCAGACGGCCCCAAGAACGAGTGGTGCCTCCTAAACGCATCATGCCTTCCAGAATACACTCGGCGTTACTGCTCCCGGCGATCAACCCAGCAAGGGACGTTACTGGATAAGCAGCAGACAGCCGACACGCGGCCTAGACAGACGGTTCTAGGCGTGACGATTCAACGACCAACAGGCCTAAACGGAGTGAAGACTACTGCTGCGAATGCTGAATGCTGAACTCAGTGAAGCAAGCCCTTATTGCTGCCGACTCAAATCATGACGATATGGAATGCTGAGCGAAGAGTCGACGAGTTTCTTTACTGATTTGACGACATTGTGACTCTGGGCGACGCAGTTTCGCTCGGATGGCTAACTGCGGATTAGAAGGCCGATCTGAATATGTACGAGAAGGGTTGACTGCTACGCGTTCATCTCCGACCGAAGCGAGGGTGTTACGGAGCATATGTAATTAATCCTATTTTGCTGGGCTGAGATAGCTGACTAGCTATCACCGACTGGTTCTCGCAGCAACATTAGGTGAATTGCACGGCCTGGCTTCTGCTGCCACTGGCAGAAAGGCGACCCGTTCTAGCTTAGAGCGGATGGGGTGTGTGGAGGTTGGGTGAGTCGGGTGGTGTCGCGCGAATGCTGTCTGGTGGAGTCTGGGACTCGGTTGACACCTACCGTATTCATAGGCGGAATTTTGCATTTGGAAAAAGTTCCACATGGACAAGAGTATATGTACATAAGATTGTTTCAGTCTTACAAACAATTTGCCTAACATATAAAAGCAGAAATTTCATATCTGTAAGCAATTCCCCTTATGCGGGTTCGCTGTAAAGCCCCTCAATGCCTGCCAGTCGAGGGAGATGACTCATCTGGCCAGAAGCCCCGGTTCCTGGGACTTGGTATGCGTAGGTGGTAAGCATCTCAAGCGTTGAAGGTCTTGGGTGCTGAACATCTTGAGCGTTGAAGGACTTGGAGTTGAACATGTTGAGCGCTGAAGGCCTTGGGTGTTGAACATCTTGAGTGGAGACGCCAGAGGGTGTTGGTTGTGGAGAGTTGAGAAGAGCATCTGCCAGTCAAGGAGGGAAGGATAAGGGAGAGTAAGTACAAGCAGCAGTGGAGGATCCAGTGGAACCAAACAGACATGTGCATGATGGCGGGTATGAGCATGAAGTAGCTTACCACAGCTAACACAGGAGCCGTACCAAAAAATACCAGAATACCTGAGGGGACCTGACCTCCTAACCTCAACCTTTACCAGGGAATGGCTCATGTGAAGCGTGGTTCGCTGGCAGCGAGCATGAGATGCATGAGGGAGCGGGAATGGCATGCAGTGATGAATGGCACGAATAAAAGGCAAGTGCGGAAACTGAGATAAAAAAACTGGGAGTAGGAGATGACTTATCTGTCCTGAAGCCTCGTTTCCAGGGCCTTGTATGCGTAGGTGGTAAACATCTTGAGCGTTGAAGGTCTTGGGTGTTGAGCATCTCAAGCGTTGAAGCCTTTTATGTTGAGCGTCTTGAGCGTTGAAGGACTTGGAGTTGAACATGTTGAGCGCTGAAGGCCTTGGGTGTTGAACATCTTGAGTGGAGACGCCAGAGGGTGTTGGTTGTGGAGAGTTGAGAAGAGCATCTGCCAGTCAAGGAGGGAAGGATAAGGGAGAGTAAATACAAGCAGCAGTGGAGGATCCAGTGGAACCAAACAGACATGTGCATGATGGCGGGTATGAGCATGAAGTAGCTTACCACAGCTAACACAGGAGCCGTACCAAAAAATACCAGAATACCTGAGGGGACCTGACCTCCTAACCTCAACCTTTACCAGGGAATGGCTCATGTGAAGCGTGGTTCGCTGGCAGCGAGCATGAGATGCATGAGGGAGCGGGAATGGCATGCAGTGATGAATGGCACGAATAAAAGGCAAGTGCGGAAACTGAGATAAAAAAACTGGGAGTAGGAGATGACTTATCTGTCCTGAAGCCTCGTTTCCAGGGCCTTGTATGCGTAGGTGGTAAACATCTTGAGCGTTGAAGGTCTTGGGTGTTGAGCATCTCAAGCGTTGAAGCCTTTTATGTTGAGCGTCTTGAGCGTTGAAGGACTTGGAGTTGAACATGTTGAGCGCTGAAGGCCTTGGGTGTTGAACATCTTGAGTGGAGACGCCAGAGGGTGTTGGTTGTGGAGAGTTGAGAAGAGCATCTGCCAGTCAAGGAGGGAAGGATAAGGGAGAGTAAATACAAGCAGCAGTGGAGGATCCAGTGGAACCAAACAGACATGTGCATGATGGCGGGTATGAGCATGAAGTAGCTTACCACAGCTAACACAGGAGCCGTACCAAAAAATACCAGAATACCTGAGCGGACCTGACCTCCTAACCTCAACCTTTACCAGGGAATGGCTCATGTGAAGCGTGGTTCGCTGGCAGCGAGCATGAGATGCATGAGGGAGCGGGAATGGCATGCAGTGATGAATGGCATGAATAAAAGGCAAGTGCGAAAACTGAGGTTAAGAAATTGGGAGTAGGAGATGACTTATCTGTCCTGAAGCCTCGTTTCCAGGGCCTTGTATGCGTAGGTGGTAAACATCTTGAGCGTTGAAGGTCTTGGGTGTTGAGCATCTCAAGCGTTGAAGCCTTTTATGTTGAGCGTCTTGAGCGTTGAAGGACTTGGAGTTGAACATGTTGAGCGCTGAAGGCCTTGGGTGTTGAACATCTTGAGTGGAGACGCCAGAGGGTGTTGGTTGTGGAGAGTTGAGAAGAGCATCTGCCAGTCAAGGAGGGAAGGATAAGGGAGAGTAAATACAAGCAGCAGTGGAGGATCCAGTGGAACCAAACAGACATGTGCATGATGGCGGGTATGAGCATGAAGTAGCTTACCACAGCTAACACAGGAGCCGTACCAAAAAATACCAGAATACCTGAGGGGACCTGACCTCCTAACCTCAAACTTTACCAGGGAATGGCTCATGTGAAGCGTGGTTCGCTGGCAGCGAGCATGAGATGATGCGTGAGCGGATGACTATGCAATGATGAATTCATGGGAGTTATGCGCAGAAAATGGCCACGGAAAAACTTATCTGGCCACGAAACATCGTGTCTTGCGCTTGGTATGCGTAGGTGTTGAACATTTTGAGCGCTGAAGGCCTTGGATGTTGAACCTCCTGGGACGCCAGAGAGTACGGGTCGACGAGGTTGTCAACTGCTCGAAGTCCGAGCTTTGTCAGACATCAGTGCATCCTGCAATTCAAACACGGCACAGTTTTAGTAAATCTGAACGACCGCTGAATGCAAATAAAAGATAACGGAGTTTCGAGACTTACGTTGGCAACGGAACCAGGAGAAGAACACTGGCGAGAAGCTGAACTGCGACCAGTCCGCCTTCCCGCGAAACTGGTAAATATTTTCAGTTCGTCGGCTTGCACATCGGTGATCGGAACTTGGAAGACGGAATGACAATCCACATGCGTATCCGATTATATAATAATCGGCGCAGAAAACGGGAGGTGCGCGTGGCTCTGGGAACATAGGTGCCTGAGATAGTGCTGGGGCTAGGCGACGCTGGGACGGGGGAGACAGCAATGTTGGGGTGCGGGAGGAGGATGCCTAGGGAATGGATAGGCGGCGGAAATGTGTGTCGGTTGGGCGGGTGACCGAACAACGGTTCGCGCTGCGCGCGCATGGGGCTTGGGCAGAATTTGCCTTAAAGCCCAAGACCTGAATTACTCAACGGAAGTCAACGCCAAAAACTAGGTTCGGGAGGCAGGCACGGAGAGGCTCGGTTGGGTTGCGAGAGACTTTCACTCGCGAAACCAATTTGCGACAAAAGTTTCTCGCTTCCCATGATGGGTGGGGTCCTTCCCACAACCAGAAAAGCGCGAGCACAGCAAACTGTGCACAGTTTGAGATATCACGCTAAGTACTAGGCATAGACCATACTTGTAGACAGGGCTGGGCGTCGGCGTTCACTCAACAGGGATCAGATGGGCCTTACGATGTGGGTGGCGCGGATTTCGATGATGATGCGCAACCCTAGTGTTCGCTGGGTGAAGTTTTTTGTGTCGAAATGCAGGTTATTGTGCAACTACTCCGTAGCGTAAACTCGCGGCGAAAATCGAATCGCCCAAACGTGACCCCTCCCGTCGCCCTCGCTTTCCTTTCCCTCGCTTCCGCTCTCTGTCGCCCGCGTCGTCGCCATCGCTTCCGCAGCTCGTCGCGTTCGCGACCCCAGCCCGTCGCCTTCGCTCCGCCCGTCGCCTTCACTCCCCCCCCTCCCCCCCCTCTTCCGTTGCCTTCATTTCCCCCTCCCGTCGCCTTCACTTCCCCCTCCCGTCGCCTTCATTTCCCCCTCCCGTCGCCTTCATTTCCCCCTCCCGTCGCCTTCATATCCCCCTCCCGTCGCCCTCACTTCCTCTCCCGTTGCCTTCATTTCCCCCTCCCGTCGCCTTCACTTCCCCCTCTCGTCGCCTTCATTTCCCCCTCCCGTCGCCTTCATTTCCCCCTCCCGTCGCCCTCATTTCCCCCTCCCGTCGCCCTCACTTCCCCTTCCCGTCGCCTTCACTTCTCCCCTCCGATGCCTTCGATTCCCCCTCCCGTCGCCTTCCACGCCTGCCGCACTCGCTTTCCCGCCCGTCACACTCGCTTCCCCACCCGTCACCTTCACTTCCCCTCCCATTGCCTTTCACTCTCTCCTGCTCCCTCTCTTTCCCCCTGCTCACTCTCTCCCCCCCCCACTCACTCTCTTCCCCCCTGCTCACTCGCTTCCCCCCGCCTCATTCTCTTTCCCTCTGCTCACTCCTCTTGTTCTCACCCCGCTTTCCCCATTTCTCACCCATTTTCCCCCTTCACGCTCTCTTTCTCTCTCTCCCCCCGTCGCCCTCCCTTCCACTCCTCGTTGCCCTTGCCATCCCTCCCTTCTCCCTTCCCATCTCGCACACTTGTCACGCCCCCTTTCCAACCCGCACATACACCCTTCCCTTCTTCCCTGTTTCCCCGTATCCCCTGCGGTGCTTCCCACCATCCTCCGACTTGCTCCCCCCATCCCCTTCCCTGCTTCCCCCTTCCCCTCCCCTGCCTCCCCCCATCCCCTTCCCTGCTTCCCCCCATCCCCTTCCCTGCTCCCCCCCATCCCCATCCCTGCTTCCCCCCATCTCCTTCCCTGCTTCCCCCCATCTCCTTTCCTCCTTCCGCCTGTGCCCTCCCCTGCCTCCCCCCCGTCCCCTTCCCTCCTTCCCCCCATCTCCTTCCCTGCTTCCCCCCATCCCCTTCCCTCCTTCCCCCCATCCCCTTCCCTGCTCCCCCTCATCCCCATCCCTGCTTCCCCCCATCTCCTTCCCTGCTTCCCCCCATCCCCTTCCCTCCTTCCGCCTGTGCCCTCCCCTGCCTCCCCCCATCCCCTTCCCTGCTTCCCCCCATCTCCTTCCCTGCTTCCCCCCATCCCCTTCCCTCCTTCCCCCCATCCCCTTCCCTGCTCCCCCTCATCCCCATCCCTGCTTCCCCCCATCTCCTTCCCTGCTTCCCCCCATCCCCTTCCCTCCTTCCCCCCATCCCCTTCCCTGCTCCCCCTCATCCCCATCCCTGCTTCCCCCCATCTCCTTCCCTGCTTCCCCCCATCCCCTTCCCTCCTTCCGCCTGTGCCCTCCCCTGCCTCCCCCCATCCCCTTCCCTGCTTCCCCCCTTCCCCTTCACTGCTCCCCCTCATCCCCTTCCCTGCTTCCCCCCATCTCCTTCCCTGCTTCCCCCCATCCCCTTCCCTCCTTCCGCCTGTGCCCTCCCCTGCCTCCCCCCATCCCCTTCCCTGCTTCCCCCCTTCCCCTTCCCTGCTCCCCCCCGTCCCCTTCCCTCCTTCCCCCCGTCCCCTCCCCTGCCTCCCCCCATCCCCTTCACTGCTTCTTCCCAACCCCTTCCCTGCTCCCCCCCATCCCCTTCCCTGCTTCCCCCCATCTCCTTCCCTGCTTCCCCCATCGCCTTCCCTGCTCAACCTTGCTCCCTCTGTTTCACTCTTGCTCCCTCTGTTTCACCCTTGCTCCCTCTGTTTCACCCTTGCTCCCTCTGTTTCACCCTTGCTCCCTCTGTTTCACTCTTGCTCCCTCTGTTTCACCCTTGCTCCCTCTGTTTCACCCTTGCTCCCTCTGTTTCACCCTTGCTCCCTCTGTTTCACCCTTGCTCCCTCTGTTTCACCCTTGCTCCCTCTGTTTCACCCTTGCTCCCTCTGTTTCACCCTTGCTCCCTCTGTTTCACCCTTGCTCCCTCCCCTTCTTCTCTTCTCACTCTCTTCCCCCTTGCTCACTCTCTATACTTCTGCTCACTCTGTTCCCCCCTGCTTCCTCTCTTTCCCTCTGTTCAATCTGTCCCCCGCTGCTTCTTCTCCTCCCCTCTGCTCATTCCGTTTACTGTCTTTCCCACTTCACTCACCCCCATATCCCCCAATGCAGGTACAGGTGCCCAGCACCAGATGTGGCTTTACCACGGCCTGGTTTGTTTGCTTGCAGTGTAGCAGACTGGCAAGACAAACCGGGAAGCAACATCACACACACACCCCCTAGCTTTGTTCCCTTCTCGAGTTGGGTGATTCCCCTTACTTTACAGATACGGTAATATATTAATTATTGAACTCCTTGGTATTGGTCATATGTATGACTGCTCTGAGGTGAGGCTCATAATCCTGTATTATAAAAAAAAAAAATCCAATACATGGCATGGCTATACATCATGTTACTATCAGACAGCCTAGGTTATTCACAACCAGATGCAGAGCAGGCCTGTCCAAACACAAACCAAGAAGTCAGATGTGACGTGGCTGAAATATAAGGGAAGCAAGCATTCAAAAGAATGACAACTGGCAAATGAGGGAGGAACAGAGGAAGGGAAGAAGTGATTAATGCAGGAATGAAGGAAGGGAGGAAGTGATGATGGGAGGAAGGGAGGCAGGGAGGACGCTTGGGGGAGAAGAAGAAGGGAGGGGAGGAAGAAAGGCTGGGGAGGAGGGTGGGGAGGAGAAAGGGTGGCAGGGAGGTAACGAGGATGGAGGATGGGAGGAACAGATGGAGGTGAGGTACGGCAGATGGGAGACATGGAGGAACGGGGCGGGGAGAGGAGGGAATGAGAAAACGAGAGGAGGGAATGAGAAAACGAGAGGAGGAATCGCGAGAGGAGGGATAGGGGCAGGAGTTGGGGATGGGATGGATGGGGAGGAGGGGATGGGTATTGAAAGGATGGATAGCGGAGGTGGTGAAGAACAAACCTTTTGGCGAGGCAGAAGATGGGAAGATGGGAAGAAGCAGGGAGGAGAGGGGTCAGGTGGAGGTGACGGGGAGGTCGCGGGATGGGGTATGACCGTATGGTGGGATGGGAAAGTTGGCAGAGGGAATGATGGGATCGGGAAAGGAGGGATGGGGAAACGAGGGAATGGGGATGAGGAGTAGGATGGCATGGCGGAATGGGGTGGGGCGGAATGGGGTGAGGCGGAATGGGGAGATGAGGGATGGGGAGATGAGGGATGAGGAGATGAGGGATGGGGAGGTGTGGGATGGGGAGATGAGGGAGGGGGAGATGAGGGATGGGGAGATGAGGGAAGGGGAGATGAGGAATGGGGAGATGAGGGAGGGGGAGATGAGGAATGGGGAGATGAGGGAAGGGGAGATGAGGAATGGGGAGATGAGGGAGGGGGAGATGAGGAATGGGGAGATGAGGGAAGGGGAGATGAACGCATATGCGACGGAAGCGGAGAACGACCTGTCGGTCGAGGGGAGGGTGCGTGCGTGGGTGACAGGAGGGGAATGAGCGAGCTCGTTCGAGGGAAGGGAGGAGATGGGGTGAGGAGGAGCTAAGGATTGGATGGATGGGAACAAGACGGGACGGAGGGAGGACGGGAGGAAGGGAGGACGGGAGGAAGGCATGACGGAAGGAAGGGAGGACGGGAGGACGGGAGGAAGGGAGGACGAGAGGAAGGCAGGACGGAAGGAAGGGAGGACGGGAGGAAGGGAGGACGGGAGGACGGGAGGAAGGGAGGAAGGGAGGACGGGAGAACGGGAGGAAGGGAGGAAGGGACGACGGGCAACAGAGAGGGTAAAGAGGGTAGTGAGGCAGGGAGATGGAGGAAGGGAGGAAGGGAGAGGGAGAGGAGGACGACTGTGGGGGAATACGGAACGGAGTAAGGGGGGAGTGCAGGAGGTAATAGTGTGGCAGGGTAGGCGCCCTCTCTCCCTAACCCCCGGCTCCCCTGCCCCGCCCCCTGCAGCACTGCACTCCTTGCTGCCCGCCTGCACGCGCTGCCCTGGCTGTGCCCCCAACACTCTGCTCCAAAGCCTCATCACCACCTGCCATGCGTGCGGGGTTGGTGCGAGAGAGGGGAGGAGGTCAGTGCAAGAGAGAAAGGGGTGGGTGCTGCTGACCACGCACCCTTCCACACCCCACAGCGAACGAGTCACGACCCCATCCCTAGCTCCCAGCCCAGCCCGCCATACCTCCCCGTCCAGGGTGGGTGAGAGGCTGAGGGGGAGGGAGAATGAAAGAGAAGGAAATAAGGGTGCAAGGGTGGGGTGGTAACCATGGACGATGGTAGGAGTAGAGAGGGTGGCAATGGGGAGAGCGAGAGCGACCAAACAAGGCAATGGGGAAGGGACACAGGGGAAGCGATGGTGAAGAGGGGGAACGTGATAGACAAGGGAGTGATGACGACGCGGAGAGAGGTGGGAGGGAAGGGAGGTCGGCGGCAAGGCTAAGCGAGGGCGATGGGAGGGCAAGCGCGGGCGACGGTGGGGGTGGGCGAAGGTGGGGGGAAGGGTGGGCGATGGTGGGGGAAAGCGTGGGCGACGGTGGGGGAAAGCGTGGGCGACGGTTCGGGCTGCGTGGGCGAAGATGGGGGGAAGCGTGGGCGACGATGGGGGGAAGCTTGGCCGACGATGGGAGGAAGCGGGGGCGATGAGCGGGGAAGCGTGAGGGAAGGTGGGGGAAGGCGTGCGCGACGGTGTCCGTGAGGGCAGTTGGGGCACCGGCGTGAGCGACGGTGTGGCGAAGCGGTTATTTTTAGGAGTAAGGGCGACGGGGAAACGGGGGAAGCGAGGGCGACGGTACGTCAACGGGGAGGACGATGTGAGGGGAATTGAGTTTGAACCGCGTCGTGGAATAATATGCGATTTGTGCTCGGCTAAGCTTGGGATGAGGGTAGGAAGGAAGGGATGAGGCGGTAAGACGATGGGAGGTGGAGAAAAGACTGCGGATGAAGAGACGGCGGCGGCATGGGATCCACGACGTGGAAGGCTAGGCATGAGATAGGGGCGGATCGGTGTGTAGCGCAACCGCGGTGTTTATCAACGGCGATAAGGCGATACGCCCTCGCGATGCTCACATGCCGATAAGCTACGACCTCAAAAGAAGTCGGGATCTCTAGATTGGCCGTATAGATAAGCCTGGAGTTCTAAATGGGCCGTCCGTTCGCTAGGAAGAAAGGTGAAAGTGCTCATGGCCTATGCTTTAGTGACTATTTATTCTATGCTCTCTGCACGGTATAATCGTTTCGCATACTACGGGAATAGCACGACCTGAATTACCAAAGAAGCCCAAACTGTGCACATTTTGAGCTCTTGTTCCTTCAGGACGGTGTGGTTGGGACTCTCGCCAACCAAACCCTTTCTGCTCTACGACTCAGTTTTTTAGCGCGACGTTTTCTGGTAACCAGCCTGGCTCGGGAGGTCAACTGTGGGTTCGGTAGGCAAACTGTGCACAGTTTGCCTTCCTTTTTTTGTAATTCAGGTCTTGGGCTTTAAACGGGAAGCGGAGTGGCTGGTTGAAGAAGGGGCGGGGGAGAATGGAATACAGGTTTTACTTGGGTTTGGTTGGGTTAGGGGATCGTCTAATTCGATGTCCAGAATGTCTGGCGTTGTGGCGGAAACGGAAATGGTTGAGCGCGGGACCCTCGAAGGAACATGTCCGCGCGCGCGACTGAGCAATGTCCAGGGCTGCGCGCGCTGCGGAGCAAGTCCACAGGTATTGGTTCGTATTGAGAAAGCTTGCTTTCTTGTCCTTATAATTTGGCATCGTTCTCATTGCAACTGGGCATCGTTCTCATTGCAACTGGCTTATTACAACATATGCATCGTTCTTAAACACATGCTAGTACATGCAAATATTACTAGCTATGGAGTCGTCCGTCCAAGCAGCTGTGGTCTTGTAGTTGGTCCGGGGTGGGTGGTGGGGATGTTGATTGAGCCGTTGGAAAACGAGAAACGTGGGTGGAGGGAATGAACTCCAACCCACAGTTTTTGTAGTTGGAGAAGGGCTTTTAGCGCACTTCGACGCTGCCAAATATTCGGTACAGGCAGCTTCGCTTTCACAATACACAATTTTGAAAAACATCAGTGTGTTTAAAAATTATAATATTGAGAAAGCTTGCTTTCTTGTCCTTATAATTTGGCATCGTTCTCATTGCAACTGGGGCCTCTGAGACATGGGCAGCGGTGGCTTCCGGTTGCGTAAGAGTGCCTCTGCGTGCTGTTCTGGGGGCAGTGCGTGTGTCGGGTCCTGTAGGTCGCGGGATGCCTTGATAAGATGTCCGACGTGTGGGGTGACGTACATCTCTTTGGCTGTGTCACTTCGCCACCTGCCCATCCTTTTGAAGATCCTGTCCGGCACGCCGATGTTGGCTGCTACATTTGCCGCGCCCTTTCGGAAGGAGTGCGTGCCGAGCTGCTGCTCCCCAAGTCCAACCTTTGCGAATGCTTCTTTACACCAGTTCCGGATCGTTGTTTACGAGGGTGGCTTGGCCGGACCCTTGTTGGCTGAAGCGTGGCCAAAAACGCGAATCAGCGACCCCTCTGAATGCGGGCCATAGCCAGCGAGTTGGAGGAAGCGTTGGGTGCAGCACACGGGGCAACAGGGGTCCGTCGTTGCTGCGATGGGAATCCAAGTTCCACGACCAGCCTGGTCCGTTTTTGAGTGTGGGATGAGGATCCACATGACTTCGTCGCCGAATTGGATGTCTTGCCACTGGATGGCAACCAGGTCGGAGTATCGCAAAAATCCGGAGTACATGAGGATAGGGATCAATCCCTTCTGAAATTCAGCAGGATTGTCCGACTGCAAGTAGTTCGCGGACATGTCCCGAACTTGTTGGATTGATACGGGCTCCTTCATTCGACTAGGGCGAGGGCAGTGTCGTTTTGCGTAGTCCCGCACTTGGGTGGTAAACGGTCCGACAGTCGGGCATTTGCTTCCAGTCATGCGATGGGCGAAGCTGACTGCCGAGCACGTGAGCTGCACTACAGACAAGGTTGCTCTTCGTTGGATTGCATGCACCAAGTATAGCGCGAGGGCCATGTCGGATGCGGGAAGAAATGGAAGATCCACCTTTGTGCAGAAGGCACGAAACTTGGCCCAGTACGGTTCGTATGTACGGATCGTTGAATTTGCTCGCGATTGTGTGAGCATGTTGATGAGTTGGTTGTGTAGCTTTGGGAGCAGATCTGGACACAAGGCGCGTACACTCTCAATTAGTCA